TAGGGTAAAAAAAAAAAAAAAAAAAAATCTAATCTAAAGTAGTAACTGTTCAGACAATTATGTTTAAGACTCATAAAGATACCGTATGGTGAGTATAGTAAAAACTCGTTAATCTGAATTCATTTGTAAAGTTATAGTTCTTTCAGATTATTGAGGCATCTGGATTATCAAATCAGTTGCATTGAATACAATGGACACTATTAACAGCTATGTTATTGATCAATAAACTTAAGAGTGAAAGCTAATAAGGGTGAGCATGCAACAGGTAAACAAAAATGTAACTGTATGTACAATAAACTTTTCAATTTAATATTTTATATATCATCAATAATTAAACAGGTTGTGTCATCAAAGTGGCATATTATGTCATCATCTTCATAAAAATCATCATTTTATTCACATCAATGACTTACTTAAAGAATACATAGTACACATATAGCTTTCTTGTATAAACAAACATCACATTTTAACAATGCTGTTATTTCTACATGCATTTTAATACGAGAGCACTGAGACTTGACTAACATTTATTACTCTGATGACCTCTAAATACTTATACCTACTTCATAACATACATCCTTAGTTTGAAAGTCATCCTAAAAAAACTGCTAGTCACAGAGAAAGTCATTCTCAGAAATACTGCTGTGAACCAGAATACACTGACAGTTCAGGCATTTTGTAGTCAGTTATTATCACCTCGTTTCCTGTTCAGATTGACCACTATTAGACTCAACTGGCGTAACTTGTGGATTACTGAATCATGTACCCATAGAAAATACATGTTTATTATAGCTCCTTGGATTAAGAATGCAAATATATATATATAAGTTCCATTGCAAAGAATTTTTGCAAAATACCATCCAGATTGTGAATAATCCATATTGACAATTCTTTGACAGAGTATTCATGATGAGACAGTTGAATGGACAGCAACTGCCTGTTGTAGAAACACAAGTGTGGAGGACGATGTTTCAAAAGTCTTCCGCTCTTTTGTGTTCAGGTCAGTGTGTGTGTATGGTGTTGTCAGTTTTTATAGTATTCTGGTGGATTGTGGAGGTTGTATTCTGATTGGTTGGTTTATTCCTATTTCTGATTGGTGGAGAGATTTCCTGTAGATTCAACCAATGGTAGCCACAGGTTACTCACCTCTAATCCGGAAGAGCCCTCTCACCACACATATAAAACCAAGTTTCTGAAGATATTATGTTGACAACACCTTCATTATCTGGCCCCATGGTCATGAAAACTTTCCAACCTTCCCAGAATATCTTAATTCTATAAACAAAAAAATCTACTTCACCATGGAAATAGAGGAACAAAACAGTCTACCATTTCTTGACATACTTATCAGCAGACAAGACAGAAAAATCACCACAACTGTATACAGAAAACCCACCCACACAAACAGATACCTACACTTCCAGTCGTATCATCAACCTCAATAAAATGTGGTATAATCCAATGCCTAATAAAGAGAGTAGAAAATATCTGCAATAAGACATCCATTGAAACAAAATGCCAAAAGATCATAGAGTGCTTTAAACAGAACAATTACACCTCCTCCTCCATCAACAACTCCCTGAAGACCACGACAGAAATAAAAGATAAGAAAAACACTACCGTTTACCTCCCCTACCTGCAAAATTGCAGTGAAAAACTTAAACACATAGCCAAGAAATTCATGATAGATATCTAGTGGAAATCCTACAAGACATTAAGATCCATTCTGGTGAAAAACAAACAGTAACCTACCAATGAGAAACACAAAAATGGCATTTATGATGTTCTGTGTTCTTGCAACAAAACATACATTGGAGAAATTGGAAGAAGACTCGCAACAAGAATAAAAGAACATAAAGACAGTACATGACTCATCAAAACACAAAATTCAACCATTGCAGAACACACGATGTCAACTAGAAACAAAATAAATTGAAAAAAAAAACTAGAATCATTGATACAGACAAATTTTGGAAGACAAAAAATTAAAGAATCCTTTTACATTAGCACAAAAGACCTTCAATAAACAGAGATTCCAGATTAGACGTGAGTGTTTGAATTGGTTGAATCTACATCTCTCCACCAATCAGAAACAGAAATAAATCAACCAATCATAACACTCCCTCCACAATCCACCAGAACAGTATAAAGACCGACAACACCATACATGCACTGACCTGAAGAAGAAAGGTGGAATATTTTTGAAACATCGTCCTCTATACTTTTGTTTCTACAATAGGCAGTTGCAACCATTCAACTAAATTCTAAGAATGAAAAGGAAATCAGACACTCTTGAATACATAGATATATGTGTGTATTTACTTGTACTTCACCACAGTTAAAAGTATTTTAGCTCTCTTACAACTGATGTGTTTTATTTAAACTAGAGATTCTAGTTCCTTGACAAATATGAAAAATAAGAAATGGTTTAACCCCTAACCTATAAGCTCAGGAAATTTTTCACAATGGAGCAGCTTTGTGTCCACAGTGATCCTTAAAAAATGTAAGTTGTGTACAACTGAGTTCCACAGCTTGTGCACAGACAGCAGGACACGTTGGTAACCATGTATGCTTCTTTACATGTATTTTTTTATCCTTGTCACTCATCAACTGTCATGGGGAAGCACAAGTTGTCATGTAAATTTTTTTTATGAAATTATGTTAGATAATGTAGTTAAATAGATTCAGAATGTGAATTTAGTGATTCTAGAAGTGAAACAACTGTATCAAATGATACATATGCTGACCCAAAACTGGAAAAATTAGGCATATTTACACAACTTCACAAATTCAGTGGAACGCTCATAAGAATAGAATTCTGGAAAGTAGAAATTGATTAAGGCGAACTGAGGCATCTTGTCTAAAGTCCCAAATAGGAAGAAGAGGCTTTAACCTCTGAGAGCCCAAATATTGGTTCTCCAGGCAATGAACAATCAAGGCATGCTGATCCAATAAACGAGGAGGACAAGGTATGGCAGAGCCCCCTCTCAAGTGATCATCAAATCTCCTTGCATACACAATAATGTCTGAGGAGGGTGGAAGAACCAGGTAATCAAACAAACGATTTTCCCAAAAATAAAGAAGGAGAAGATTTGTAAGCTACAGGAGAAGTATTTAATAACTTGGTGTACTAGTTGCAAAAAAGGTGTAAGAAGCATAATGTCTGTAGAGGCTCATGATTAGCTGCCTGAGAAAATAAACATCAGACAACGTGGAAGACTCTGCGTAGGAAGACCTGTACATTCTATATGGAAGTTGCCCCTCCAAATGTCCAGATAACACCAGACTTGTAAGGCATTAGAGGATGTAGCACCAGACAGTTCTATGTCTGAGACATGAATGTGTGTATTCAGATTTGAAAAAAGTCTCCAATAAACTAGGGACCCATTAAAAAAAGTGTAAAACAAAACATCAAAAAACACATTAACAATGGTGAAGAGAAACTCACAGTAATCACATAAGACCGTCATCCTAATTTCTGCCATCGAGAAAAGGTGGATTAGAAGTAATAATGGGGAGCTTATATACAGATCTGGTATAGAGACTGGAGCAAGTGAGGTATAATTCATATCAATGTTTAGATGGGAAGAAGAGAGAAGCTTTCGTCAGAATAAAGCTAAAGCATGAGGGGAGGTGTGTGTTTCAGAATAAATGCTTTAACCCTTCCATTACCGGTTAGGTGGAGTCCACCCATCTTGTAACCACAAAAGTATCCATGGGAGTAATTATACTATGATTTTTGATAATGTAAGCACATCTTTACAAAATTTTGCAGGTTTTAAATTAAGTATTAAGATTTTTTATTTAAAAATTTTCTCATAAACCTTTTTCTTTCAGAATGTTGACATTACAACATGCAAAGCAATTTTGATCTTAAGATTAAAAATTCTTTAATGTATCAGAAAATTTCATATTTCATATGCGAAATCTTTCTAATCTCCAGATAATTATAAACTTTTTTTCCAAACTTTATATGTTATCTGTTATTTTCACTATGGGTTGGTTCTATTTGACCAACTTTGTAACCTCAATAAAACATTATGAAGAAAATATGAATTATGCTTTTTTCATTCTAGAATGAAAACAAATTATAAAATGAAAACACAAATGTTTAGTTTAAATAGCTTAAATCTCACATTATACATTTATATATATTTATTATTTTTATTATATTGACCTTTTAGCCATGCCTGGCTAACAATACAGGAGTTACAGTGACGCAGCGCAAGTTCATTCATGTTACCGTATCCAATAACATATAACTGAACTTTAGTCTTTACCAAGTAACCTGTCTTGGCTGTGTTTTAGTGAACTAGTATTTTGTAAAATACAGTCACATTTCAATTATTATACAATATATATGTAAGTACGTTATTACTATTTACAAATCAGTTCTTAAACATATTTTTCTTCAAACATAGAACTAAAAAAAAGAAGTAAAGCAAATAATTATCTCTTCTAGTTACGACCTTTGTACTCGGTTCCTGCTTGATGTAGGTTGCTAAGCCTTTTAAAATTTTGCACATGGATGATATGAAACAAAATAATTTTTTTAGGTTTTATGTATACAGTTGAATAACCAAACAAAAATCATAAATTACTACATCAATACCATAGAATTCCACAATAATTTATCAAGCTTAGTAATTAAGCTGTATTTGGGTCTAAAAAAATATTAAATTTTGACCTCACTAAAGACTTACCTTATTGTTTGAAATTAACGAACTTAACGCAATAACACATTTAAATGGCTGAAAAAACCACTAGGGGAACATTCTGTGCTTTCGACTGGTTATACATGTCATGTATAGAAGTAAGTGTATATAAGG